CAGTAAAGAACAATTGTTGTGGATACCAGGATTAGTGTCATACAACTGTGTAATCTCATACTCTAAGAGGTGACCTGCATCCGTAACTGTTTGATATCACACAAAAAACGTTACACACAAGTTTTTCCTTGTCATATATTCAGAGTTTGGTTTTGCATGACATAGCAAACTTTAAATCATCCAATTCTAAACTTGTATGATCATTTGTCATCTAAAAAAAGCGTGAAACACAAGACCTAGAACATATTTTTCCTCAGCTTCAGTCATCTAGAAATAAAAACTTACTACAGTCATCTATGTGGACTCTTAATCTTAAATTGATGTGAACTTATTTTACTCTCTTATTAATGTTTTTTTTCCTCCTCAACCTCCTGCTTGGTGAATACCAGTAATATGTAGTTGCAAAGTTTCATATCTGTAGGCAAGTAATTTGCTCCTGAAGTGAGAGAGTTGGCAGAGATGCACTGATAAAAGTGAAGTTTCCTTAAAATGAAATGACACTGAGTGTACAAAACAACTTGGTCGCGGCTGTGATTTTCAGAAACAGTAGTTTGATATGCTACCTTTAATTGTCCTGACATCGCAGGAACCTTTAATGTTGAACAGGAAGTTGCTAAAATAAAAATCACAAGAAAATATATTACTTTCATTACTTATCTGTAGCCCACTGTGTTAAATGACCACTGAAAATTACTGTTGCTGGCATGTAATCATATTGCCTTTTCGATCAGGTAAAATTTCTTCCTTCTGATAAGCATGCAAGAGAAATGAAGTCTTCAGGTAACAATGCAGAGGAGAGGTACTTCAGTGCTAAAAAAAAGTTATTTTAAAAGTGCTAAAGATTTCATGAATTGTTTAGCAATTGCCTGCAGGATTTGAATAAATTATTCTGCAAATAATTATTAAAAGCTATTACATAGTTTTATCATGTATACAATCAATACGTAATCACAACATTTTTGTCATGGATTCTGGAATAAATAGGCACTCCTAAAGTTATCTTTATCCAACCTTACCTTGATTACCGAGACAATGTAATTTACTCCAACAGGACCAAAGAAACAGTCCAAACAGAAAGCAAGGTTCCTATATGCACTTATCAACAAAATTTATTTATTTTTCATGTTATAACTTAGAGCGATAACATTTCCGCACAGCCCCATACTACATTATGCATTCAGTTCTTGAATAGAGTAAACAATGACAAAAACAATACATTGTCACAATGCAATGCAATCGGAGTAAACACCGCCTGATCAATATGTAATCACA